ATACAAATATATATACTAATATATATATATCTATATATATATACATATAAGGACTAAGATATATATATATATATATATATACACACACACACACACACACACACACACACACACACATATAAAGACTAATATACAAATCGACCAAACGGCGGAACAACCGGTTGCTATGACACACACTGACCACCAGGGGACAGATGCTCAGCGCAGGAGCTGGCCCCTGGTGGTCAGTGTGCTCCCACAGGGGGAGTGTTGCTCAGCCAGAAGCTAGTGAGTGCAGTGGTGGTGGCGGGAGCCTCTCCCACCTCCATGGCAGTGCTAAGGATGTTCATCATTCAAACATCCCCTGAGGGCTCCTGGACTGCAAGAGGGTGCAGGCTGGGCTGAGGGACCACCACCCCCACCAGTGCATGATTTTCATGCACTGGGCCTCTAGCGTGTGTGTGTGTGTGTGTGTGTGTGTGTGTGTGTGTGTGTGTGTGTGTAGAGCCCGGTGCACAAAAATTCATGCACTCAGGGGATCCCTCAGCCCGGCCTGTGCCCTCTCGCAGTCTGGGACCCCTCAGGGGATGTCCACCTGCTGGCTTAGGCCCGCACACCGGGAGATCGGGCCTACGCTGGCAGTCAGACATCCCTCTGGCAGCCCGGGAGCCCTCGGGGGATGTCCACTTGCCAGTGGGGAGCAGGCCTAAGCTGCAGTTGGACATCCTTAGCGCTGCTGAGGAGGCGGGAGAGGCTCCCACCACCACCGCTGTGCTGGCAGCCATCAGCCTGGCTTGTGGCTGAGCAGAGCTCCCCCTGTGGGAGCGCACTGACCTCCAGGGGGCAGCTCCTGCATTGAGCGTCTGCCCCCTGGTGGTCAGTGTGTGTCACAGTGACCAGTCATTCCCAGTCGTTCTGCTGTTAGGGTCAATTTGCATATTACCCTTTTATTATATAGGATGGCTATTTCTCCACTTAGACCCAAGGGAATTGCTGTTCTGGTCCCTGGAGCAGCTGGGTTTGCTCAGGCACAAGCTCCAGCACATATTGTCTAGGCCAAGAAAAGTATTGGGTGTGTCCCCACCAGCAGGGTGGGCTCATGCAAAAGCCTAGAGGCCACTGCTGCAGGACTGCTCTGCACAGAGGCAGAACAAAGGACAGGCAGGCATGGAAAGCACTGGCCCTTTAAGGAGAATCATGCTCCCTGCAAGAATGGAGCAAAAAAGGAGTCCCGACTTGGGGACTTGGATGTGCTGTGTGAAATCCAAGGCTGAGTTAAATAAAATAATGCCCCCTAGTGGGAACGCCACACTCCCACCCGAATAAGCTTAAACCAATCAAAGGAGATAAAGGCGGTCCTTTCTGTCTTCTTGGCCCCAATTCTGCATTGGCCCCAGTCTTCTTGGCCCCAGTCTTCTTGGCCCCAGTCTTCTCTTCCAAAATTCTGAAGTCAATTCACCCCTTCCCCCTGAGGATATTTACCACCCATCTCCCCACCCCATCCTCAGATCCCCACCCCACACCCTCCTCATCTCTTGCACCAGAGCCCAGATAAACTAACCTCAGTTGCAACAAGAAACACAAGCCATGCATCTACTGATAGACCATGGACTCCAATGGATTCCCTGTTCTCAGTTGGGATAAATTTAAAACTGTCATTTCCTTTGATGTAGTGGTTTATACCACCACCACCACCACCCCTTTTATAAGCAGCAAAAATCCTTTTTAAAAAGAAATGGAAACCCCAAGAATGTAAAGCAATTTTTTCAAAATGGAGCTTCTAATGAAACGGAGGCTTGGGGGTCTGGGAGACCTGGGCCTGCTCCCACTCCCACCAAGGCACCCTAGTTATTTCCAAAATATCTTTGTGGCTCATGAAAATCACAGCCTTGAAACAATTCCCACAATATTTTCTTTAAACAAAACTGCTAAAGTAATAAATAAATTTATTCCTATTAAACTTTTTCCAAAAATTCAGCAGTATATAAAATATGAAAGCCTTTATCCCTCCCCCCAATCCTCAATTCATTTTCCTCCTTAGAAGAAATTCCTTCTGAAGGTCTGAGGTGAGTCCTTCTACTGTCTTCCCCTTATAAATACATACAGAAATGCATTTTTACAGAAATGGGATCATATTACACATTGCTTTCTACGTGACTCCCCCGCCCCCCTTTTACAACGTCTTTGGACATCTTCCCATAATGGTATCTACAAAGTTTTTGCATTTTTAAAAAATATATATTTTTATTGATTTCAGAGAAGAAGGCAGAGGGAGAGAGAGATAGAAACATCATTGCTGAGAGAGAATCATTGATCGCTTCCTCCTGCACGCCCCCTACTAGGGATCGAGTCCGCAACCTGGGCATGTGCCCTGACCTGGAATCAAACCGTGACCTCCTTATTCATAGGTCAACGCTCAACCATTGAGCCACACCAGCCAGGCCCAAGTTTTCACATTTTTAAAGACTTCCCACATTCCTTTAAGCGGATACTTGTATCCTATGGTACAAATGGGCCATAATTTAGATATCCATTTCTCTATTGATGGCTCTCAAATTTTTGCGTTTCAAATAGGGCTGCACGGAGCATCCTTGTGCACACACTTTAAACCCTGTTGGCAATATTTCTGTTGGCTAGATTCTGAGAAATCGAATTTCCAGGTCAAAGCAACGTCTAATTTTTTCACAGCTGACTGCTTAGATCCTAAGAAAAGGGCCCTCGGCCAATGGACTTCTAATAGCATTTCACCTCCCCAAGCCAGCTTCCAGCGGCAATGTGCTGCCTCTGACAGCTGAGCGCCCGTTCTCCCAAACTGAGGTGAGAACATAATGCAGAATGGGGGCCAAGAAAACAGAAAGAAGCGTCTTTATCTCCTTTGGTTGGCTTTAGGAAGGTGCCCAGACTGTGACCAAAAGAACTGTTAGCTGTGGTCACATTGCGAGGTCATGCAGGTCCTACTATGACTCCTCAGGGCAGAACCTCAGCCACACCTGGCAGCAGAGATTCCCAAAGGCAGTCAGGGGACTTGTTGGGGTTTGTGTTTTCTAGGGATCGGCTTGCTCCTGGTGGTGATTTCATTTCGGGGTCAGTGTATGCAGGTAAAGGGTTAATAACCGGTTCTCCCAGCGGGAGCAGCCATGACTTACAGTCAGGCCGTGTCCCTGTCTGTGGTGGAAATAGTCCTGCTGCGGCTGCGTCCAGGCTGAGCAGCATGATGTCACCGAACTCGCAGCTGGGAAGAGGCGCACACTGCAGTGCTTGTGAGCGGTGTGGGCCAGCTCCAGCACAACGCTGCCTGAGACTGATTTTTTTTTAATTTAGCAAATCAGTGGAGGGGGGAGGGGAGAGGGGTTAAGTTCCCTAGAAAGTGCCAGAAAGTACCTTTTTACTTAGCAAGAAAGGCGAAGGGTATCTTTCTTCTCTTTAACACTTAATCCCTACTTGTGATGTTCCATCCTTATGTCGTAATGAGAATGTCCCCAAATCTTCAACTGCATGTTTTAAAGCCTAGATGGATTGGAGGGATGAAGATCAGGACGTTGGCATCAGACAGACCTGGATGAGCCCAGGCCCTGCCTTGTAATGTGACCTTGGGCAAGTCACTTAGCATGCCTGGGCCTCTGTTTCTTCACCTACCAAGTGGGTTCCTGACCTAGAAGAGTTGTGAGGATTGAGAGAACGTGCATAGAGCATTTAGTCCGAGGTCTGGGAGCACAGTGAGTGCTCCCTGTAGGACAGCTGCTCAAGAATAAAATCCCTGTTTGAAGAGCAGTTAGCTCTGTGAGACTTAAGGCTAGAAAAGAAATAAAACTTCGTTTGCCAGACTTTCGCTCTTACAAAAGGCAATGTAGCCTGTTCTGAACAACACACACAACAGCCATTATTACACTGAAGTGGTTTTCCGCTGCTAGGTGCCCCCACCCCTGAAAAGCCTCATTTCCCTCAAACCTGCTGTTTTCAGGCGCCACTGGAAGAAGAGACAACATCCCTCTCTCCAGGTTCTGTTCTAGGGGAGGTGGGAGGGACCACAGACAAACACGTAATAATCAAGATACTTTGGGATTTTAAGTGTCATGAAGAAACCGAGAGGGTGATGTGATAGTGACGAAGGGGTGGGCTGGGGAAGACTCAAGAGGTGACATCTGAGTGAACTCTCTGCCCTCCTCTCTGCACGGCTCTAATCGCATTCCCCCAGTCCTTTACCAAAATGGCATCTCTAAGGAGTGGGGGGGCCAGGGCAGGGTGATCAGCATGCACCCCTCACTCAGGAGGCAGGACAGGGCGACCTGCGTGGTGATCCCAAGAGCTTTGACTTCTGTCCTCTTCCTGGTGCAAAATCAGCAGTTACCTCCACTCTCCATCTGGGTCACAGACACACGACGCCTCCTAAACCAGACAACAGGCTTCCCACTCAGAGAAGAAGGTGAAACTTGGTTCAGAAGAGAGTGAAGTATCTGAGAAAAATTACTCTGATTGCCACGGTGGACAGACATCTTCAAGTGAACGTTAGGAACAAAATGTGCTGGAAAGAGATGGGAGAGTGCTGGGTGCCCTTGTCCCTGGATTCCCAGCAAACAGAATCCCCCACAAAGTGTCAGCAGGTGGAAATTATGGTCCGGAAATCATAGCCATCTCCCCCCAGTGGATCTGCCTTGGTATCCGTTCCCCACCCCACAGCCTCTCCTCCAAGCCACAGTAAGATCTCTGTTGAAAAAGGGATATTGCTCTAATAGTTTAACTGTATTCAGTTCTCTGTACAAGAAACTTCACCAAGTTCTTAGCAAGCCTCATTCCATTGCACCTTCACCACATAGCTAATACCACCCCATTTTACAGATGAGGAAACTGAGGCTCAGAGAGGCTCAATAACTTACACAGACACACATCTAGGAAGCAGTGGGGGCAGCCAGTCTGCTCTTAAACCACCAAGTATACCACTTTCCTGGTTCTGGCACTCGGAGAGACTTGCCTGAGGTCACAGACAGTAAGTCAGGGACATCAATTAGGTAAACAGGGTTACGCTGCCTTAATGAACAACCCCAAAATCTCGGTGGCGTCACACAACACAAGTCTATTCCTTGCTCACCCTGCCTGTCATCGACATGGGGCTCTCTGCTCATTAGAGTCGCTCAAAGGCCCAGGCTGGTAGGAGCTCCATCTCAATGCAAGCTTCCGCCATCCACCCAGCAGAAAAGGGGCTCCGCCTCGAGGCCCGGCACCCTAAGTGCACATGTCACTCTCTCATGCATTCTTGAGCAAAGCAAGTCACGGTGCGACACCTGACTTCTAGGAGCCTGAAGACCGGGGACTATTTGGTGAACCACATAATGATCAACCCACCCAGCTACAGGAATGGGCACCAATGGCTTTGCCCTTTCCCGAAATGTGGGTAGTCAGCCCACGGTGGACGACAAAGCTCGGACGGTTTATTTCTTTTCCCCCGCTATTGATCTTCCCTTTTGGTTTATTTGCTTCTGAACATGAAACATCGAACCAGGCCCTTTCTTCATCAGTGGCTTTGCAGGAGCTGGCACCGGGCTTTAAGATCCCTGGGAAGCTTGCTGTGTTAGCTCATTTAGCCCGCTGCCTGAAGTTGCAATAGATTTCGGGTCGTCTTGGAAGTCGGTGTTAACAGAAAACCTCCATCTTCCCCAATCAGCCCGAATATTTAAAATTTTGAAAGCTTGGCTTGGACCGGATTTAATTTTAAAAGGGGAAGGGGTTGCTTTTGAACTTCAAGAAGGCTAGAGGCCCAGCAGGGGGCTGTGTTAGCAAAGGGAACAGGCAAAACGCCCTGTGGAAAGAAATGCTCCAAGGAGGAAGCTCCGCTTCCAGTTGGTGAGCCTTAAATCAGATTTCAGAAGTGCCACCAGCTTAAATACTGTTTATAGGACTGAGGCATTGCTGCTCCTTTCTCTGGCTGGATTTTAAATATTCCCTAATTTGATTACTCGGGGGAGAGGCAGGCAGAACCAACGTTAAATGAGCTTTACTGTTAATTATTCAGAGGGCTTTTTATTGTGTAATCAAACATAAAGTCTTACAAAAAGCTTGAGGCACAGTCTCACCCTGCTCCCCAGCTGACTCCCACCTTGGTGACTGGGCACATTTCATGCATCGTAGCCATGAGCTGGCAGGTGCCCAGCAAGGTTCTGCCAGTGAGGAGTGCACACCCCCCTTTTAGGCTGGTAAAGGCCTTTGGTCCTCTCCCCATGCCATGAGAAGCCAGTCTTAAGTAAGGTTGGTCTTGATCACCTTTTGCCTCCAATATCTGAGCATCTCCTCCCACCACTGGTCCTCTGCAGCCCCTGATAACTCTAGACCCCTGTCAGTGCCTCTCCCCATCAAACTGGTCTAACCATCTCATTCCCTAAAGGCCCTCGTCTACGCCAGGTGACAGCCAGCCAAATGATTGAAAGGATCCCAGCCATCTAAAGTCCTTTCTGCAGAGAAAAGAGGAATAGAGAAAGAGATGGGTGGATGGATGGATGGATGGATGGATGGATGGATGGACTGGATGAACGGAATGAAAGTAATGGATAGATTGGATGAATGGAATGGATTGGATGGACTAGATGGATGGATTGGAGGGATGGGTGGGTGGGTGGATGAATTGAATGGACTGGATGGAATGGACTAGATGGAATGGACTGGACTAGATGGACTGGACGGATGGATTGGATGAATGGGATGGATCAGATGGACTAGATGGATGGATTGGAGGGATGGATGGATTGGATGGACTGGATGGAATGGACTGGATGGAATGGACTAGATGGACTGGATGGATGGATTGGAGGGATGGATGGATTGGATGAATGGGATGGACTGGATGGATTGGATGGATTGGGTGGATGGATAGAGTAAGCAGTAGTCTCTCTAACCTTGATTTTCACTCACAAGACCAGTTATGGAGAACTGTCCCTCCCACTTCTTCACAAGTACAGGATAGAGGGGGGTGGGGGTAATCACTGAGACCAACCACCATTCATCATCCGTTTGCTGCATTTCTCAAAAGGACTCGTAATAAACCGAGACTCGCCCTGGCCGGTTTGGCTCACTGGATAGTGTCGGCCTGGGGACTGAAGAGTCCCAGGTTCGATTCCCATCAAGGGCATGTACCTTGGTTGCAGGCAACATCCCCAGTAGGGGGTGTGCAGGAGGCAGCTGATCGATGCTTCTCTCTCATCGATGTTTCTAACTCTCTATCCCTCTCCCTTCCTCTCTGTAAAAAATCAATAAAATATATTTTAAAAAAATAAACCGAGACTCTGGAACTGGAAAACTCACTACGCTGTTTCTGTTTCTCACTTAGGGACCCAGGTGGAAGCAAGAGCACAATAAAGAAAGTCATTAAGGACAAGTCCATGGTACAGCGGTGGGAGCACTTCCTCACAGCACCCAAGGTAACAGACGGCGCGTGCGACTCTGCCATCTGGTGACCAGCCCCTCCTTGTGCTGGAGGCATACTCTCCAGTCTTCTCTCTCACTGGGTTCTTCTCTTCTAGCTGGTTCTCTGAGTGAGGGAAAGTCAGAACCACATTCAGTGGTTCTCAACCTTAAATATAGTTCCGTCATGTTGTGACCCAACCATAAGATTATTTTCGTTGCTACTTCATAACTGTAATGTTGCTACTGTTACGAATCGTAATGTAAATATCTGCTATGCAGGATGGTCTTAGGCGACCCCTGTGAAAGTGTTATTCGACTGCCAAAGGGGTCACGACCCACAGGTTGAGAACCGCTGCCTAGATAGTCATCTGGAGATTAGAGGAGAAATGACATTTGGCTGGACACCATATCACAGAGAAGGGGAGGGGTGGCCATGGCGCTGCTCAATAGGATGTCACCAGAAGGAAATGGACTCACTCAATAATAGTCAGCTCTCTCTCTCTCTCTCTCTCTCTCTCTCTCTCTATCTATCTATCTCTAACACACACACACACACACACACACACAGAGAGAGAGAGAGAGAAAATAAGTGAATGATTCAACAGACAGGGTTTTCTATAAACCAGAACATGTGCTTATTAAGAGAATATCAAGAGGTCTATTCTTTTTACCAAAAACTATTCTTAACCCAAAAATCTCCCAAACTCATCCACTCAACAAAGCACCAAAATAATAACAATGACAGATGATATTAGGTATGTAAAGGTCGTTGAGAGAGCATACAACTAGAGGGTTTGCTGAACCTTTCCTTTCACCTGCAAAATGGGTATGATGCTCATCCCTGTCTACTTCCCATTAGTAAAGGATCCCAGGAAGCAATACACACACTCACCTTGAAAATGTTCAAGTGCCGCCCTAACCGGTTTGGCTCAGTGGATAGAGCATCGGCCTGCGGACTCAAGGGTCCCAAGTTCGATTCTGGTCAAGGCCATGTACCTTGGTTGCAGGCACATACCCAGTAGGGAGTGTGCAGGAGGCAGCTGATCGATGTTTCTCTCTCATCGATGTTTCTAACTCTCTATCCCTCTCCCTTCCTCTCTGTAAAAAATCAATAAAATATGTTTATTAAAAAAATGTTCAAGTGCCGCCCTACCTGGTTTGGCTCAGTGGATAGAGCATCGGCCTGCGGACTGAAGGCTCCCAGGTTGGATTCCGGTCAGGGGCACATGCCAGCTTGTGGGCTCGATCCCCAGTGGGGGGCATGCAGAAGGCAGCCCATCAATGGTTCTCTCTCATTATTGATGTTTCTATCTCTCTCCCCCTCCCTTCCTCTCTGAAATCAATAAAAATATTTCTTTAAAAAAATGTTCAAGTGCCGAGCATTATTGTGGCTATAGAACTTTTAGAGGCCACTTTTTAACATCATTGCAATGGACCAGGTTCTGTGCTAAGGAAGCTAGTCTGTCTTCTTAATAATCCCATGAGGCACTATTCTGATCCAGATGGAAGAGGAGAAAATAGGGGCTCAGAGAGGTTAGGTGACTTGCATGAGGTCACACAGCTGGATAATGGCAGAGCCAGGAGTTAATCCTGGCCTGTTTATTAAGCACTGTTTATGAAACGCTGAGTCTCAGAATGCATATTCTCCACGGTATCATGATTATAATGGGCCCTCATAAAGAGTCTCGACATTTTCTTGCTCTTTCATCAGGGTGTTCATAGCTCTGAGAAGTCAGAATGCTGGTTTTTATCACAGAAAGTTGCTATGGAGATGGCGTGTGCATCTGTCTCCAGAGTTGCACAGAAAAAGCAGCAGGAGCCACAAACCTTTAACAAATATCCTTCGGGAACATACACAAGGGAAATCAGAGGAGGAGAGAATGAATCACCACACGTGAACTCTCACAAAATTGAATTCCCCAGGGCAAGTCTGTGGGTCAAGCTCTGGGCCACAGCGTGGTCCACTCTGGGGGTTGGGGAGTGCAAAATTAGGAATCAGGAGACCGCGCTCCGCCACCAGGACTCAGTTCGCTGTGTGGCATTGGACACGTCCTTTCATCTCTCCTGGCCTCGGTTTCTCCACCTGTCTGATGAGCACTGTGAAAGAGAGGCTCTAGTCAGCTCACACAGCAAGAGATGTTCTTCCATCTGTGTAGAGCTTAATGGTGCTAAGGCAGCGTGCATAAGAGCCTGGCAAACTAAGTAAATAAAAAACAAGGCTGAGTAAAGCACTGCTGGGGGTGAGGTCTGTGGCCAACAGGGATCCTCTGGCCCAGCTACAGGAAGAACTTCTGCTCAGCATTAGCTCATTTTGCCACGTGAGGATGGAAGCCGAGGGCTTCTCATTTTTAAGAGACCAACAGCCTCAGTTTTTATATAAAAATCTTCCCAATTTGTAAAATCTTGGGCAGCTAAACATGTTTCCCCATGAGCCATCAGTGTGGAACCCCTACTTCTCAGGAAGTATAAGGAATCCCTGCAGTCCCTACTGAGGTGTGACACAGCAGCTGGTTAACACAGCTCTTTTTTAAATATATATATATTTTATTGATGTTTTTACAGAGAGGAAGGGAGAGGGATAGAGAGTTAGAAACATCGATGAGAGAGAGACATCGATCAGCTGCCTCCTGCACACTCCCCACTGGGGATGTGCCTGCAACCAAGGTACATGCCCTTGACCGGAATCGAACCTGGGACCCTTGAGTCAGCAGGCCAACGCTCTATCCACTGAGCCAAACCGGTTAGGGCTAACACAGCTCTTGAGTGGAATACAAACAACAGAGAGGAAGCATTGGGGTTAAAGTCAATTCAGAGAGAGTCAGCTCAATAAAGGGCAAGGAAGATGCTGAGCCTGCCTGTCACATTCCCCGACTCTCAATTAATCAGGAGTGTCAGCCCTTCACTTTGAATTTCCTGATTGGGATTATTAATTGAATTTTAATTAATGGCAACTTCAGAAGCACAAAATGAAATCCTACCCAAGGAAGATATGAAAAGCTCTTCTCAGATCATCCCAGTCCCTCCTCTTTGTTTCACAGATGAGGAAACTGAGGCAAGGCCGAGTGACTTGCTCAAGGTCCCCCTGAAGTCCCCTGGCTCTGAGCCCAGTGCTCATTGCCTGACCCCAGGCTGCCCCCAGGGCACAACCTGTCTAGTCTTCAAAAATGACGTTGCTCTAAAAACACCTGGTTTCTAGAGTCGGGAACTCGCGTTGTGCCAGGGGAAACAGCAAGAGGCGTTACCCTTGAGCTTGGACATCCTCTCTCCTAGGGGGGCACGGAGCAGAGGGGCTTTCTGTCAGGCTAGCAAGCTCTTGGCCAATGTCAAGACAAAGAGGACACTGTATCACACTCCTACTTTATCCAAGGAGGGAACATGCCCTGACCGGGAATCCAGCCATGACCTCCTGGTTCATGGGTCAACACTCAACCACTGAGTCACACGGGCCAAGCCTTCCTTCCTTTCTAAAACCCCTCTTTCTTCTCTCTTTCCTTCAGATCAAGAAATTCAAAACTCCTACACAGCGCGCCACGAGCCGCAAACCAAGCCGGCGAGGCTCCGTACTCAGCCTGTCCCGGGCTAGTGCAGGGTCCTCCCCCCTGAGCAGCATGATCTCCGTGAACCCCGGCTCGGATGAGCCCCCGAGCGTGACTGTCCAGGCAGCAGGCAACAAGGACATCGAGGACACGGAATCGTCCTCCACCAGGCCAGACGAGGATCTCCACATCAGTAAGTCCTGCCTGGGAGCTGACCAATCCGCCCTGACGCTTTGCCTTGAAGCCAGATGTCAAGAGCTCCTCCTGCTCTACTCCTGCCCTGACTCGATTAAGAGAGACACAGGGGTTCCCTGGTCCTGTTCTATCCCCTGGAACCCTCTGCTTTACTCCAGTGGAGATCAGAAATACACCCTCTAACCTGGGCGACTCTGAGCTATTTCTCCTTGGGAGACAGCCGGTGGTCATCAACGTCTCTGTTTACAATCTTAATACATTTCATTTAGCCCAGTTTATACAAAACATTATCCTTTAAACCTGTAACCAGAAAGTCGTGTCTAAAGCTCCACACATCACTTAGTTCCCCAACGCTGTGCGCCACCTCTTCTGGACCAGCTCCAATCCCTCTGCAGCTCCCCAGCCCGGAGAAGCAGGGGCGATATTAGGCTGGGGTGGGCCCTGTCCTGCACAGTCCGGTCTCAAGGGAGCCCTGCAGACAGTGAGCGCTCATGTTCCCATCAGATCTGCAGAAGCTCCTGGAGATGGTTCGGGAGGAGGCCCGGAGGACGATCATGATGGATTCCGAGGTGCAAAAAACAGCACCCAGGTATGTTCTCGCAACCCCTGGGCACATAGAGGGCACCAGAGTAAGAACGGTAACATTCCCAGTTCCTGAGCGTTTTCTCTGCGACAGCACAGAGCATTGTGCTTTTCTCATGGGTATCATCTCCCTACGTTCTGACATGCACCCTACAAGGCAGGTACTATTATTTTACAAATAAGGAAATGCGGCTCAGAGAGGCGACGGAACGTGCTGGAGGTCACCCAGCGGATGAATGTAAGACCACAACTGGAATCCAGATCTTTCTGATTCCAGAAACCATTCTCTATAAGGTTATTCGTTCATTCTGTTAGTGAATATTTAAGAAAGTGTATGGGCTGTGTGCTAATTACAGAGGGTGGTGTTCTGGCAGGAAAGCTCAGACCTGTGAGAGTAAATAATACGGGTATCTGATCTTGTCTGGAATGGTGATCAGGGAAGGTTCCTCCAAGAATAAACATCAAGCTGAGATTTTTGAATGCAGCATGAAAAGGAGCTAGCAGGCAGAGTTGGGGAGTGGCAAGGGAGAACACCTTAGGCAACACATACACATATGCGAACCTGGTCAAGGGACCATGCACCTTCAAAGAACTGAAATGCAGCAAAAATGGATGGGAAGAGGCATGAGTCTACCTGGGACCCTGGAGGCCACCTCACCAAGTCTTGTGTCTATCCCAGGAGTCACAGGAATCCTTTGAAGTTTCAAGCCGGCGACCAGCGGCATTGGTTCAGAGGGTCAGACTTGAACCTGAAGAGTCTTCCTTCCAGTGGGAAGCATTGTCCACAGAGCTTCTGGCCTTTGAAAGCCTCGGAGAGCACACGGGGTTCCCTTCCAAGTGTGGATCCCTCCCAATAAGCAAATTACTTGCTGAAAGTAAATGAGGCACCAGAAGAGGTTCATCATCGCCTTCAGCCCACTGAGATGCTGGCTATGACTTATTGGTTATTGTTGTCACCGTAATTACAGTTCACCAAGCACCTTTACCTCTGCTTGCAATGATGAATTTCTCCGCTGCTGCCTCAATTCGCATCAGGGCTTAGAGGCAGCATTGGCTCCCAAGGCCCTGCCTGCCTGATTCCTCAGCATTAAAGAGAGACAACAATGATGACCGTCAGCTCTACAAGGCCCCTCCTCCCTTTGTAAGAACTCGTGTGAACACTGGCTTGGAGTCGACTGCACGGGTGCAAACCCTGAGGCTCTGGAACAAGTCCCTGAGCCTTTCTCCAAACCTCCGTTTCCTCGTCTAATAAAATGAGGTCGGGCAGCATCAAAGCATTGGCCTTGGGACCAAACAGACGAAGGTTCATCTCCATCCTCATCATTTCACTGCTGTGTGATGTTGAGCAAGTTGTTTCACCGCTCTGAGCCTGATTCCCATTCCGTGAAATGAGGCTCAATGACAACCTATCCCAAAGGGTTGCACTAAGAATTCAATGATACCAGCCTGGTAAAGTATTATTATTATTGTTATGGACGTAATGTCTACTCCAATGAGTCATTTTTATGCATTTCATGAGATATAATGCATTTCACATATTAGCATGTGCCTGGCATACTGCAAGCATGCAACAAGTGGCACAAGTGGCAGTGGTGGTCGTGATGGCCATGACTTTTATTTCACACACATAGTGTCCCACAGTCCTCGCTGCACCTTGACGAGACACACTTATTAACCATTACCATCGCTCCGTCTCACAGTCATAGAAGAATGGTGGTGAGTGACTTGCATACGGTCGCCAAAGACAAAACCAGGCAAGAATCTGGTCTGCACAAAACTCATCACGTGGCCTCTGTGTCCACTTTAATGTTAAATAACCATGGCTGCAGAGCAAGAACCCGCTGAAATGTCCTGTCTTCCTCCTTCCTCCGGGAGGAAAATCTCCCATCTCTCCCGAGGCCACAGGCAGTGAGGGCTTCTCCTCACTCTAGAATCAGGATTCCCTCCTTACTTTAGACATCAAATTGGCTCCCATCAAGGTTGACATGGAATCCGGGGGCTCCAACCTAGCCAGGCCCCAGCCTCAAGGCCGGAGCGCCCTCTGTCATCTGTCTTTAGTCCATCTGGGCTGTTATCACAGAATGCCATGCACTGAGTGGTTCATAAACAACAGACATTTCTATCTCACAGTCTGGAGGCTGGAAAGCCAAGATCGAGGTGCGGGCAGATCTGGTGTCCTGTAAGGGCCCTCTGCCTCACCGACTGCTGTCCTCTCACTGTGACCTCACAAAGCAGAGGGACAAGCTAGCTCCCTAGGGTCTCTTATGAAGGACACTATCCCATTCATGAGGGCCCCACCCTCATGATCTCATCGCTTCCCAAAGGCCCTGCCTCCTAACCATCACCTTGGGGGGGCTAGAATTTCATTGTATGAATTGGGAGGCAAGAAGACTCAAACATTCAGATCATAACATCGTCCAGGAAGACGGCCTTTTCTTAAATTTCTCTAGCTCTGTTTTCCACAGGTCCCCAAAGATCAGAATCAGCTGGGATGTTTGTAAAAAATGCAAATTTCTGGTCTTCGCCCCAGATCCACTGGATCAGAATCTCCAGAGGAAACCGTATTTTTTAAAAATATGTTTTTATTGATTTCAGGGAGAGGTAGAGAGAGACAGAAACATCAATGATGAGAGAGAATCATTGATCAGCTGCCTCCTGCACTCCCCACACTGAGGATCGAGCCCACAATCCAGGCATGTGCCCTGACCAGGAATCGAACCATGATCTTCTGGTTCATAGGTCGACACTCAACCAGTGAGGCATGCTGGCTAGGCGGAAACCATGTTTATTAATAAGCACTTCCGGTGGCATTACATCACAGTATGCTGACAAACTCTCAGGTTTCAAATGTGCTCCCTGCACATACGTATCAGAAGTGAGGGTGCGTGTGTCCGTGTGTGCATGTGTGTGGTTTTAAATGCAGCTTCCGGGGGAGGGCCCCACTCCAGGCCTAATATATGCAAATCCCCGGGAGCACGGCCCAGGGATCCGTATTCTCGGCAGTCTCTCCAGGTGACTCCTGTGCCCGGTAGTCTAAGGAGCCCTGCTCCAGAAAGAGAATCTTTGTCCTCCCACAGACCGTGCCCGCCTCAGGAGCACCATAGGTCTGGTACCTCATTAAGAGATTCTTCTTGCTTTGCAGTATCTCGTCAATGTTGAAACAAACCAAGAGCGATTCTGCCTATAAAGACATGCAGATCAACCTCAAATCCAGGTAGGAAGGCCTGGGGCCCACAGCAGGTGGGTCAGGAGGCACCCCTCAGTGACAGGGGCGGTTGTACAGCGGCTCCTCACCAGACCATGGAATGGGGGGCAGGGAGGGTCAGCTTTTTTCTCCTTCACTAGAAATAATCCCCTTAACTCCCTGGCCTGGGTTGAGTACCCAGGCATTTCTCCCCAACAACCGCATACTAAGCAGCCACACGGTTCACAGCCTCCAGTACAGAGGGATGGAGTAGGGGGGATGTGTTACAGAGCTAATCCTTCCCTCTTAATCGGGTGAGTTATAATGGGGGAGGGGAGATCTGCCCCCATCTCATTCATTCATCTCAAGAATATTCATTGAACCCACTCTGGGCCAGGAACTGTGCTAGGTTTTGGGGGGATTCCGCAGCAAATAAGACAACTGCAGTCTGCCCTCGTGATCTCATGGTCTGGACTGTGGTCGCCACTTTTCTGTGCCATAAGCAGTCGGAGGAAGCCTATGGAGCCTTCCAGATGCAAGTGATAAATCACCAAGGTTTACAAAGAAATCTATACTGAGATCGTAGATGGACTATGATATTACAGCCGCATCTGGGATGTAGTAAATCTGTGAGCTTCTTCAGCAAACGCACCATGTAACAAGGCTGAGCGGCTGCTCTAGGAATGACCGTAATTTTGGATTAGTGTCGAGGGTAAATGATTTTTCAAAACAGCCTCCACAATTGCCATATGATGTGCAAATGCCTGCGATTTCCATTCCTGCGCACGGCTAGTTAAAATAAAGGTGTGACTTTTTTCCATCCGCATTTATGGACTCTGAATCCTGTCCATGGTTAAGAGTTGCTGGTCCCATTTGATAAATGGGACAGTCATGCATGTATCAAATAACCCCCCAGAGTCAGCCCTGTAATCATGACTGTGGCTGAATGTTGAGCACCAGGGTCTTAACCAAGATGGACTTTGACATTTGAGCTGAGATCAGAACTATACAAGCATGTCAAACTCATTTAACATGCTTGAGCTTGTTATGCTTGAGTGGCTGGGAAAGGTGGGGATGGTGTTCCAAGCAGAGGAAAAAGTTTGTGCAAAGGGCCTGAGACAGGGAGCAACTTAGAGGCATTGAGCGAAGACCAGGATGGCTGAAACTCGGTGAGAGACAAGGGAAAGGAGACCAAGGCAGGCAAAAGGATCTTTTGTTGCTTGTATTTCTGTGTGTTTCTTTGTTTATCACAGCTAATAACACTGCTAGAAAAGAAGAATGTCATCTACAAGAGGAAGGTCACAGCCAACACATTTCCCCAAATAATTCGTCTGGAGGGTTGAGGCAGCTGGTGGAATCCAACACAGGGCCTTCTTGGTATTGTTACTGGGGCTCTGCCTTAGCTGAGTGGAGCATTTGCTCCACCACCTGCCAGGCCTAAGACCTCTAGGTCCAGTCCCATGAGCCTCTGGGAAAAGCAGAAAAGGCCAGGACCTTTCCTATAGAGAGGGGTCTGGGAGAACGCCAGGCCTGCCTCTTTAAAGGAGTCCCAGAGGTCACAAGGCCAAAAGGAAAGGATTAGTCACATATCAGAGGGATATGAGAAATTCTTGCCCTCTAGAACCACACAGACAGAGCAGTCGAGTCCATTTTTGAGGCGTTTGGAATAAACAAAGGAAGACAGGGTGAGAGAGAAGGTGCTAGACCAGCCGTGGGCAAACTACGGCCCGCGGGCCGGATTCGGCCCGTTTGAAATGAATAAAACTAAAAAAAAAAAGACCGTACCCTTTTATGTAATGATGTTTACTTTGAATTTATATTAGTTCACACAAACACTCCATCCATGCTTTTGTTCCGGCCCTCCGGTCCAGTTTAAGAACCCATTGTGGCCCTCGAGTCAAAAAGTTTGCCCACCCCTGTGCTAGACCCTGGAGCTGAAGGCCTAGGTCACCAAAGGAGGACCTGGGAGAAGGCACAGAGGAGGGATGGGCTTGAGGCAAGGGAGCTTCTCCCACTCCCCAGGAGCCCCAGCCAGGCAAAGTCACAGGAAGACGCAGCCACTCAAAGCATTAAACCAGCCCCCACATAAAAAAGGGGCAAATGGTACGAGGAGTTGACTGGGTACAGATGAGGAAACTGACATTATGGAGCGAGTTCCTTGCCCACAGACCAGAGCTGGGCTCTGCACCCAGTTCTGTCTGCCTCCAGTCAAGTGAAGAGGGTATTCAGTTCAAGGGACCAATTTAGAGGAGAGAATCCTTAAATGAAGAGGCAGTCTCAGGTCAGGAACACCCAGGACAACATGACGAGGAGGACTCAACCATCCCTTCTCCAAGTCTGCCCTCGGCCCCAGGTTAAGAGCTCATGGGTGTAGACGGGAGGACGGAAGGGTCCACAATGAACTTATCCTGCAGTTGGAGACCCATTTTATTCAAAAGAAACTGGGATCCAGAAAATACATCATCCTGCCACCAGGCAGACAGAAGGTCAACGTGGACCAGGGGAGTCGGAGCAAGCAGAGCCTGCTGGAGACCATGAAACACTGCGGGAGTTGAGTAGGGAGAGAAGAAACAAGGACGCTCCAGGCAGGGTATGGGATGAGCAAAGGCAAAGAGGTGGGGAAAACACACACTGAGTTTTATAGCCTGTGGCATGACTGGAACCACTCCCTGACCTGAATCCTGGAGGCCAGGGGACCTGAAACTTCCCTTCGCGTAAAAAGCAGGCTCCAGGCAACTTGAAAGCATCCCTCTGTGTTTCAGTGACAGGTCCAGCAGTACAAGTGGAGAAACCCACAGCCAACCGATCCAGAAGAAGTCTAAAAGGTAAGCCAGGTGGGCAAGAGGGATTGTGGTGACCACACCCTCCATCTTCCCAGGGGAAATAACCCAGTGTGGACCAGGCCTCCGGAAGCCATAGACACGGCTGAAGGACCAGGGGCTCCCAGGGCAAGGGGTTCAAGGTTAAGATGCCGAGTAACAACACAAGCAATGGCAACAAATGCGTCCCCTGTGCCAGGCCCTGGGAAAAGCATTCCGTATTCACTATCTTGCTTATTCCTCAAAAGCAATCCTATGAGGTGACAACATTATCCCATACTACAGAGAAGCAGACTGACACTTGGCCAATGGAATGTCCTGCCCAACCCACGCAGCTAAGAAGCGTGGCACTGGAGTTTGAACCTGGATCTCCCAGCTCCAAATTCCATCCTCATCTCAAGGTCCTTAACATTTGCTGGGCTCAAGTGGCCAGATGTCTCACTGTGGGCTCATTTCATGAGGCCGGCACCACCAGCCTGATACTGTCAGGAAGATCTGTCCTTCCTACATCCACAATGATGCTGGGGAGGCTCCAGGGGCGGGCGGAGAGCCCAGGTGGGTGCATGGAATCCCCACTGCAAAGCACTGTGGGGCCCAGAGAGGCCAGCCTCATGGGTCTGTCTCTTGGCCCTGATCCCCAAACCCCTCTTGTCTGTGTCCACAGCCGCACCTACCATGACCTCATCCACTGCACGACCAGCGTGTGTACCACCATGAGGGCCAAGTTCTACAACGTGGCCCAGGAGGCTGGCTTCTGTCTGCAGGACAAGATAGAAATCCTCATGAAGTAAGGGCACATGCAGATGCACTCACTCAAAGGACATTCGTCTGACACCTACTATGCGCCCACACGATGCCGTGTGCTGGTGCTGAGGCTACAGCAGGGTACAGGAGGGATGCGTTCTCTGCCCTCAGAGAGCTTATCATCTCTCCTGGGAAATATGGGCAGAAACAAACTAACTGAATTAATAAACATATAGGTACAAATTATAATCATTATTATATAGGAAAAGGACAGGTGCTTTGAGAGGGAGAAACCGTGGGGACTTCATTTAGGTCAGGTAATCCAGAAAGACCTCACTCAGGATAAGGAAGAGCTGGTGGGGTGGTGAGAGGATAGGTGGACATTCCAGGCAGCAGGAAGGTGCATACAAAGTCCTGAGGCTGAAAGGGACATAGAAAGTTTGAAGAGGACAGGGAAGCGGCAGGTGACAGCTGCATCATGCACAGCCAGCCATAAATGTCATCATCAAAACTTGGAACTGGATTTTAAGAGCACCAGTAGGGCACTGGAAACTTTTTTATTCTGACAACCCAATAACTGCCTCCCACCCCAGCCTACTCCTTGACTGCCATGACCATTCACTCCAATGAACTTGTCCATTCACCAAAGGTTGCATGGTGACCCTTTGCCCTCTCAGCCTGGATGGACTGGCTGCTCTGGGCCACGGGATTAGAGGCGATTGGTCCCTGCCTTCTGGGAGCCCCATTCTAATGAGGGAGACAGAAAAGTAAACAGGCAATTACCACACAGAGTGATGAGGGCCAACAGGGAAGTGAGCAGGGGGCTAAGGGAACACGGGAAGAGGGTGTCCTTCCTAGCCTGCAACAGCAATCAGCAAGGTCGTGCTGGAGGAAACACTATTTTCAGCTTAATAAAGTCAAGTAATATTTCCAGGGCACTTACTGTGTAGCAGTCATAGTGTAAGAGCCTTGTGTGTATTTATCACTAAGTCCTCACTACAATCCTACGGGGTAGGTACTATTATTAGACCCATTTTGTAGATGAGAAAAGTGGGCTCAGAGATGTCTCTTGTCAAAGGTCACCCAGGAGTTAAGCAGTAAAGGTGGCATTCAAACCCAGAGAGACACACAGGAAAAGGAGGAAGGCAGGGAGTTCCAGAGAAAGAACAGCAAAGTTCCACAGGCTAGAGGGCCCAGTGGGTCAGGAACTACCAGTAGCCAGGTGTGCCTGGGACTTGGTTGTGGTTGCTTACAAGGTCATCAGAGAAAAACAGAGGCCAGATCATAAAAGGCCTTACCAGTTCAGCTGTGGAGGTTGAACTTTATCTCAGTCTTTGATCAGGAGCCAAAGCATACAATTCTGGGAGAGAAGAGATGGGAAGGGTAGGGATAAAGCTGGAAAATGTTGTAGGGGCTGAAGAAGCCAGAGCCTCAGAGAGCAAGTTACTCCGAGGACTTTATTCTGAGTAAAATGGGAAGCTATCCAAATGCATATAAGGTGAATGACATGGTTATATTTATAAAGTCTCTTCGGAGAGATAGGACCTATGCACAAAATGATAAGGGGTGTGGATAAGAGAGAAAACAGCATGAGGTAAACGCCCACTGTGTGACTGGCAGGCACCAAGTTCAGCACTTTACACACATTGTATTATGTAATCCTCGCCTCTGAGAGCTAGGAACCATTATTATCCTTCATTTTACAGATGAGAAAGCTGTGCAAATACAATCAAAAGTAGGGAGAGAATGAAGGCTGATTTTTTTTTAAAAAAATTACTGATTGTAGCAAGAAAAGAGCATTTCAGGACCTTGGAGAGAGGTGTGTCATCTTGTAGCCAAAGCCAGATAGTAAATTGGATAGTGGCTGGGAGGGTTAAGAACCTCATGCAGGAAAAAGTGTCTGAGTCCGACCTCAAAGGGCAGGAGGATGGCTGAAGGAGGCAGGGCTCTGACTCTTCTTCCTCTTTCTCACACAACCTGTGATGCAGGCGCCAGGAAGAGAGAGGTCTCCAGAAGTTCCATTCTTTTGTCCTCGTCTCGAATTTTCAAAAGGACATAGCAAAAATGAGACATAAAGTGTCCATGGTAAAAGGAGACGCAGAAGAAATCGCAGACCACTGGTAAATACCCTGAGAGCCAGATAAGACGGTCCTTGAAGGGGGTGAAGGGAGGGCCGCTGTTACAAAATCCCATTTGATCCCATTAGCTCTCGCCACATGGAGAGGCATCACCCCAAAGCTGCCCTTGGCCAGCACAGGGCCCCCAGAGCAGTCAGGCAAGAACCCTTCAGTTCCCGAAGCACAGACAATCCGACCAGCTCTGTTCTCCACGTTTATCTTCTGTTTGATTCAGACTTGCAAATAGGAACCAGCTCACTGGCCCTATGGAAGTGGCAGATGAGGCAAACCAACCTGAAAACTTCCACAGAGTCAGAGGTCTTCGGGGTGATCACCATGTCCCCCAAGTAACTTAACCCCTTACAGCTACAGAACCAGGGAGGCATGTCCCAGGAACACTGTGCCCAGGGGTGATAAGTATAACAAAAAGCCACAGGAATTGAGTGATGACTGGATGGCGGACACCACCCTGAGCCATGTTCGTACATTATCTATTGTATCCCCCACAAAAATGCTGAGGGGCGCACATCAATCCCCACTGTACGAACAAGGAAGTGTTAGGATTCAAAGCCCTGCCTGACCCCAGTCTCCATGCTCATCTACAGCACAGAATCGGAGTCGGATGAACTGTAATTTTATGAACCTAATCCTGGCAGGGTGAGTAAATCAAGCTCTAAGAGTAAGATGAGAAAGTATAAAAAGGTACCCAGAATCCCTTCCATGATTTTAATAATGTGGAACGGAAGCTTACAAAGAGACATAAATATATATAAATATATATCATAAAATATAAAATGGGACGTACGAAGATCTTCAAATTTTTCCACAATGGATACCTATATATCAGGGCGGGGGACTTTTTAAAGAGATGCCACCACCGCCCTCTTTTAAAAAGACCCTCTTAAACCCTGATCACACCTGACCCCCCTCGGGGCTAGAATTTACCTTGTTCCCACCATGGATTAGCAAAGGAGCCTTGTACTCCACACAGTATCATCAGAAAGGTTCACAGAGGTCCACTGAAATACACAGAGCTGTGGCCCAGGCTTCTCCACACAGAGACATGGGACATGCACACACTTCCTCCCCTCTTTATCTCCCTCCCATCTTCCCCCCCCTCCCCTCACCCCTGTCTTTCCTCCTCCTCCAGCTGGTGTGTGAGAGCCTCCTGCACTCTGGAGACTACCCCACAGATGAGTCCATGTCCTCCCTGGCCCCATTAACTCTCAAAAGTGACACTTCAAAACCTCAGTTACCTTTCCTTTCTTGCCAGCTTTTCTAGAAAAATAATAAATGCATCTCTTTAAAGTATATCCCTAATTTGTTTTTCTAATGAGATGCAAATCGTGCTCCAGCTCTTACTGCCCTTAAAAATTAAAGATGTGCCCGAGCTGTAGGCCCCTTACATTTATGATGGAGGAAAGTCCCCCAGATAAAGACTAATGCTGCCCTGGAGGCATCGCGTGAGAGGCAGAGAGAGATGGAGGACCTGAGGTGCCCTCTCTTCTTGAAATCCAAGGTACTTTGATCTTCTGTCCAAACTCCCCGAAGATCTGAAGAATTTCCGCCCCGCCAAAAAGATCCTGGCCAAACTGCAGAAGTTCGGGGAAAACCTGGACCTGAGGATCAGGCCCCACGTCCTCCTGAAAGTGCTACAGGAGCTGAGGACCTGGGAGCTGTGCTCCCCAGACGTCGCTGTGGCTATCGAGGTAACTGCCACATCCTTTCCCCTCCCCACGCGCCCGGGGCCCTCATCCCACCACCTTCAGCACCCAGGCACCATGTGAGTGCTGGGAACACAACATAAAAGACAGAGATCTCTGCCTTCTGGGAGCTTATCATACCGTAGTCGGCAAACTGCGGCTCGCAAGCCACATGCGGCTCTTGGGCCCCTTGAGTGTGGCTCTTCCACAAAACACCACGTGCTGGCGCATGTACAGTGCGATTGAAACTTCATGGCCCAAGAGCAGAAGTTGGTTTTCGGCCTGGGCAAGTCTATTTTGAAGAAGTACTGTTGATATTTGGCTCTGTTGACTAATGAGTTTGCCGACCACTGATCTAGTAGGAGGGGTTGTCACATGACCTTGGTTGTTCAACTCCAGGGGACATTATGTTCTTTGTAAATGGTCCCCCGCCCCCCAGAGAAACTGGAGGCCTTGGAGAGACAGAAATAAATGGACAAGGGAATAAAATAACTGGTGATCATAACGAGGAGCCCTCTAGATCTGGCTACTAAAACTGTGGCCCACGGACCAACAGCATAGACCTCGCCTGGGAGCTTCTTAGCAATGCAGAATCTTAGGCGCTAAACCACATATGCCAATTCAGAGTCTGCATTTCAATGAGTCCTTGGGTGATTTTTTAAAGTTTGAGGAGCACTCGTTCAAGGTCAAGCTAGAGGGGACCTATCTTAGCCAGAGCAACTGGGGAAGGTGAGTTTTAAGCCAAGACTTGAATGATGAAAAGACAGCACTAAGAAGAGTAGGGGAACGGACAGGTCAGGCGGAGGGAAGACCACGTGCAAAGACCCCAGCGCAGAACGTGAACTGTTGGAGGAACTTGAGGCAGTCAGTGGGGGTGAAAGCAAGCAAGCAAGGGGCCCTTCAGGAAAGGCTGCTAGTCCAAAACCAACTCCAGAGCAACTGTCCAACCTCCGCTTGCCAGCTATGGGGTCTACCTTTAACCTGCCAGTTATGGGGCCATCTCTGAATGGGCAAGAGGAGGGGGGATGTGGAGGCTCCCCCCATTCTCCGAGGCGAGTGCATGGCCCCAGCTAGTGAAACTCAGCATGTTCCTCTCCCAGTGAGAACCTCACAGAACTTCCTGGATGTGGGTGTCTTAACCTAGAATCTATTTGAAACTACATTCTGTGTCTTAACCCTTTCCTGGAAGCAAGCCCACAGCTGTCATCAATTCTCAAAGGGGTTTATGAACTAAAATAAGTTTAAGAGCACATTACTTTTTTAAAAAGATATTAAGGAGTAGAAAAGAAAGAAACATGCAGACAGCTGCGTTTTCCTGATCTCCCTAAATTTCTCAGGGTCAACAGAAAAGGCTTAAAATGAGCCTGCGGGCTGAACCAGGACCCTAGAAAGGGATCTTTTTCTAGAAGGAACCACCCAGCATGATGCTGCAGGCACTCGGAATGTCTGAATGGTTGGAGGCATCCTGGACCACCACCCTCAATCACAAATATTTCAGTATCTTGGGGGGAGGGGAGGCCAAGGAATCTAGCTTTCAGACCAAATCTGAGGCTGCCGCTGTATTCGCCCTGCAGTTTGTGCGAGAACACATTATCCACATGCCTCATGAGGATTATGTCAACTGGCTGCAGAACCGGATCAGCATCCCCGTCCGGCCCCAGACTGCCCGGACATAGTGTGGGCCGGGCCGGCCAGCTGTCCCGGTGGAGGAGGCTCATCTACACTGTGCTCCTGCTTCCTGCCTGTTCTGGATGCTCATGATCTAGTAGGGCCACCTGGAGACTGACTTCTGGCAACAGAAAGGGAGCTACTCCCAAGTAGAAACTCCCCTTACCCAACACCCCAGTCCAACCTTCCAGTCTCTGTTCCTCACTGGCCCGGCCTGACTCTACCACTCCCTTCTCCAGATTCCTGCACTGCATCCTCAAATTCCAGATAATAAAATTGAGCTGAATGTTTGATGTCTGGCTGGGAAAGAGTTGGAGCTGGAATCTGGGTGTGGTATTCAGATACTAACGAGCTTTTGCTATTCAATGGGCTCCATGCTGGGTGATATTAGGGCCTCATAATATCATTTACAATCATGTTCAGCTGCCTCTGCATTCCCTCCCTACCCCTACTGACCCCCAGCCCTCAGAGCATGAGACAAGGAGGTCACAAAAGCTATCTTGCTTTTGGAATCATTCCCAAGGGATTGCTCTAATGGCGGGGCTTCCTGGCACCATATTAACTTCGATTTGCACAGCAATCCGCAGTTTGCAAATTAGATAATACTCCAGCAGCATCATATGCGACGCTCAGAACATCCCTCTGAGGTAGGCTTTGTTATCATCGCCATTTCACAAGTAAGGACACCAAAACCTACGGTCATCTGCCAACAGTCACATAGGCAGTAAGTGGCAGAGCCAACTCTAGAATGGGTGTCTGTCTGTCTAGCACAGGGGAGATGCTGAAATCACAGGACTTACTCCACCCTCCTGCTTGCCACTTTCCAAGGCTATTTCTCAGAGCTGCAGCACCACCTAGTGGTTTATGTTAGTATTATGCTTCCATCATGTTTGCCTGCAAAATATAACCTTCTACTGAAAAGGCAGGCAGCAAGCATTACCAGCAGCAACAAGACCTACTTTGGTTAGGCAAGGAACATTTATTCAAACAAAGGCTCTTCTACTACTAAAGTAGATTAGGGACTAGGGGGAGGCACTACATCATCTCCCAGATCCCAGCCTCAAAGAAGAGCCGCAGGGAGAAATACTTATTTTAGAGGCTTTTGTCTTGGGACTCAAATTGGTCATCTTTTGGTGGAGGTCAGAGCCAGTTATTCAGTCATAATACATTTTTAAAACCATTTAAATCTTCCAAATGGCAAAATTAACTATGCCAACACCTTCCCAAAGATGTAAAATTCTTCTCACCAAAAAATGGGGAGGTTGGAGCCATCCTAAGGGGCTTCATGAGGCACATTCACATCCAAAGTCCCAAAAGCAAAACAGAGGTGGAAAAAAACAAAACGCTGACTATTGGGGCAAACTTTCCACTTGACATGGACTTGAAGAAGGTGTTTATGGGAATAGGTGTGTGAAGGAGGAGAATGATTCCTGTTAAGTGGAAAACAAGTCCTGAGGTGGCAACTGGGTGAATGGAGTTGAGGGAGGAAAGGGTGCCACTTGGTGGGTGGGAGGTGAGAGGGCAGCTCATGATGGTCATGGAGTGTTTGAGCCAGGTTAGACCTTGTCATCTACTTGAGCTTGAGTATGTGAGAGAGATCACAGGTGTAAAAAGACACCTAGACCCTATCCTCCAGGATTATGCAGAAGGTTTGAACAGTGGTCCTATAGCATGATGGTTAAGAGAAAAGTTTCTGGTGTCAGATAGGGAAAATCCAGATCCTAACTGTGCTCTCTCATGAGCTACATGACTTTGGAAGGTGTCTTCACTTCCACATACCTCATCTTTAAAATGGGTATAACAGCCCTAACCTGTTTGGCTCATTGGATAAAGCGTCAGCCTGTGGACTGAAGGGTCCCAGGTTCAATTCCGGTCAAGGGCATGTACTTTGTTTACGAGCACATCCCCAGTAGGGGGTGTGCAGGAGGCAGATGATGGATATTTCTCTCTCATCAATGTTTCTAACTATTCCTCTCCCTTCCTCTCTGTAAAAAATCAATAAAATATATTAAAAATAAAATAAAATGGGTATAACACCACGGAATCAATGCGAGAGCATGGGTAAAGCGTACAACTCACAATAAGACTCAATACACATCATAACGATGGAGGTGGCGACAGGCAAAGTGGTGCGGATGGAGCACACAGAAAGCCACCCCCCCTAACCTGGCAAGTCGAGGAAGGCGCAACAATGTCTTTAGACACCTGCAATGAAATCCAATCCTGGCTCATTTCACCGAGCCTCTACATTACTACCTCTGAGGACATGAAGGTCTGATTGCCAAAGCCTCAGTCACATGACCACATCCAAGCTGCATGAAAGCTGAGAAAGCAGATTCTGACTTTTTCCACTTTTATAACAGGAGGATGATTCATATCATAAAGTACAAGATTCCCCCAAAAAAGAAAGAAGCCACAAGAAAATAAGCCAAAGTGTCCTCTAGAGAAAGCTTCCTGGGATAAGTACCAGCTTAGCTGAGTCAAAATGATCTACATCCCATATGTTACCAATGAAGAGACGGGACAGACAGGTGGACTCCTCCAAGGCTACAGCTTTGGGAAGAAGAGAGAATGGGGCTGGGAAGAGCGAGCAGTGGGGTTCAGGAGGAGACCCAGAAGGGACCTCTGATGAGGCTGTGGGAGGAAGATGCTAAAAATCTCAGCCAGAAGTTGATATTGGGTCTAGAAGTGGTGGCAGCAGAGAAGAATAGGGGATCGTGGTTAATATCCAAGCCTGGGAAGAAGTTGGAATCCAGCATAGAAGACTATCCCATATAATAAAAGGCTAATATGCAAATTGTCCCCTAGGGAGTTCGACCAGGAGACTGGGAGTTCAATTGCTCGCTGTGACATGCACTGACCACCAGGGGGCAGCGTGGAACATGGCAGGTGACTAGCAGTGGCCCACGGGGCAGGGAGGCTGGGAGGCGGGGAACCTGATCGGCCCTGATTGCTGGCCAGGCCTAGATACCCTACCCACGCACGAATTTCGTGCATCAGACCCCTAGTTGTATAATAAAGAAATTGTCTGGGTTTTTATGCCCAATTCCTGGGACAGAGCCTCTAAATCCTTGGAAGTTTTCAAATAATAGAAGCATCTTTGTTATTCATAGTGGGGCCCTCAGGCCACACCTGAATTTATGCTAACGAGGTGACTACAGTGGGCAATTGGATAGTTTTAGATTGGGGACTAGCCATACTAGAAAGATCAGTCATGTGATTAGAAGGTTGGTGCTCTGAGTCATGTGATGTCAGTTTGTCCCTCCTGAAGGTCAGGGAAAGAAGTGAGATCAGGTTCAGTCACAGGGTTAATGATTCAATCAGTCACGCCCACATAATGAAACCCTAATAAAAACTCTGAATGCCAGGAGCATCAGCGAGCTTCCCTGGTTGCTAACCGTATACTAACCGTATACGATGTACCAGAAGGGTAATAATCTTGAGGAGATGGAAGCTTCAAAGTTTGGAACCCTCCCAGCCCTCTTCCTGTGTAACTCTTCATTCCAATGGTCTTTATTTACACCCTTTACAATGAAATTGTAAGCATAGGTGTCACATTGCCCTGAGTTCTGTGAGTTGTTCTATTGAATGGTTGGACCTAAGGGGCTATTGGTAACCCCTAAATCAGTGATGGTGAACCTTTTGAGCTCGGCGTGTCAGCATTTTGAAAAACCCTAACTTAACTCTGGTGCCGTGTCACATATAGAAATTTTTTGATATTTTCAACCATAGTAAAACAAAGACTTATATTTTTGATATTTATTTTATATATTTAAATGCCATTTAACAAAGAAAAATCAACCAAAAAAATGAGTTCACATGTCACCTCTGACACGCGTGTCATAGGTTCACCATCACTGCCCTAAATTGTCTAATGAATTATTGGACCTAGGGGCTACAGGTGACCCCCAAATTTGAGCCATTTGGTCAGAAGTGTAGGTGGCCTGGGAACTCCCGAACTTATGGCTCTTGTTGGGGACTGTGCTCTTAAGCTGTGAAATCTGACCTAACTCTGGGTAGTTAGCATCACAATTGCATTGCCAGGAGAAATTGCCAACCAGGCAGAAGGCTCTGCTGTTCCTGTGGTTGAGCCTCCTTCAAGGGAAGTCCTCATTCAAAGGTGTGAAGGCAGGTGTAGCTCGTGCTTTCACACCCCTCCCCTTTAGGTAACGGCCCCTTCCCCTGGATTCTCATTCATTGTGATGAGACAGTGCTTCAACCCCAGTGCTAGGTGTGGTCATGTGACCAAGACCTGGCCAATCCAAGCATTACATTTACCTGACCATAGCCAATGGTTCAGAGATGGACACCCGAGGGAACCCAATAAAAGTCCATCCCTGAGCTTCTGTTGGAATTGATGAGAACAAGAAGAATTCTTCTGGAATTGTTTGCTTCAAGGATAAAATAAGCCTAGAGCTTCTGGGAACCCCCACTCACAGAGACCCTCCCAACAGAGGAAACCCAAGCTGGAAAAGGCAGTCAGAGAGATGATAAATCTCAGTGACATCGTTTTGAGCTACCTGGACACACCCAGACCCTCAAACTACTTAGTTACAGGAGCTAACAAATTCTCTCTCCTGCTTAAGCCAGATTCGGTTGGGTTTCCTTCTCCTTTGTTCTTAATTAATGCAACAGGAAAGAGAAAAGCAATCTGTGGCCAACCATGGCCAAATTCCAGATGCCCCTGAGGAAGCTCCTGTCCTCTCACAGGGCTGGTGGGACAGCAGCGGGAGAGATTATCACCAGGTATATCATGCAGGAAAAGCTAAGAGAAAATCCCACGTTAAACCCACCTCATCAATCAAGAGAAAAAGACCAAGAACACAGATGTTTTATCACTCAGCTTTGCAGCAGGTGTGAAAGTGCCCATTTGGATTTAAAAGAGCATGAAGTGAATGTCAGGTGGGGACTGTCATCAGAGCCAATTCTCGTGTTATCTGCCACCGTGCAAAGTGGTGCTGGGTAAGTGAATGTCTTAGCTCCATGGTCTCCAAAGAGTGTGTATGTG